GCATTCTATATTTCTGATGCTCGAAGTCACATCTTTAATTTTGATTCTAAATTTTCTATTAAGCAAGTATGAGCTTAAGATATTGAAGTAGTTTGGAAAAGTTGTTTTGATTTTATATAGGAGTCCTGAGTGCCAAACCTTATCGAAAGCCTGACTGACATCTAAGAATACGGCTACACTGTGTTCCTTTCTATTCATGGCTTCAAGAATACGAGACACCGTTCTGTTGCATTGTTGAATTGTAGAGTGATTTTTTCTGAAGCCAAACTGATGGTGAGGAATTCAACTATCATTCGGATGAACTTCTGACAATCTCTGCAACAAAAGTCTCTCTAAAATTTTCGATAATATCGATAAAAGACTGATAGGACGGTATGAACTAGCAGTGTGATGGTTTTTGTTTGGTTTAGCGATCATAATAATTTCTGCAGTCTTCCACGCTGTGGGCCAATAATTGTATTGAAGTATGGCGTTGAAAATATTTGTTATATATACGATACCTTTTCTAGGCAATTCTTTTAACATCTTTGGAGTAATTTTATCCATACCTGGCGAAGATCTATTTTTTATCCTTTTTATTTCACATAAGACATCATTTGGTGAAAAATGTCCTAACGGTGTAGAATGTATGGGTTGATTTACGAAATTGTTAATTAAATTATTTTGGGAAATATTTCGAGCGCTAAAAATGCTACTTAGATGATCAGCAAATGCCTCCGCTTTTTCTTCGTTGCTTTTTGCCCAAATGAATCCGTTTTGGTTGGTTATTTTCAGAGGAGGGTTTTGTTGTAGGGGTTTACTTTTGTTTCTGATTGGTTTCCATATAGAATTATCGTACCTATTTAACTGCAATATATACGACCTGAATGTACAATTCTTCCATTCTTTCATTTTTTCCCCAGCGTGTTATTGAGATGATTAAGCGATGTCTTATCCGTTGGTAGATGAGAATGTTGCCAGGTTCGTCTTGCTCTTCGTTTCTGTGCAATTAGCTTCTTAATCTCTTGCGGAATTATTAGATTATCATTTCTTGGATTAATGTTCGGGGTGATGTGCTTGGTTGTTTCACGTACAATCTCAGAAAAATAATCTATATTATTTTCTATATCAATAACGCTTGTAGGCCTAGATTTTGGAAATAATTTTGAATCAAGTATGGATTTGAATTGAATCCAGTTAGAAAGATTGTTGTGTAGAATATGATTGTTGATAACTGGAGTAGGAAATGTGCTAAACGTCACAAGTATTGGAGAATGATCTGAAGAGAGATCGTAACTAGACTCAATATTGAGATTTGAAAGATCAATACCTTTCACAATAAAAAAATCTAAAAGGTCTGGAACTTTAGTAGGGTCAGAAGGCCAATAAGTTGGACTGCAAGTTGAAATAAAGGAGAGGTTATTTTGCCCTATGGCTGCATGAAGAATCTTTCCTTTGGCTGTAGTCAGTCTAGAACCCCAGGCAATATGTTTACAAAAAAAGTCACCACCAATGATAAATTTATTACCTAATTGAGAGAAAAATGAAGAAAACTGAGCACAAGAAATTTTGAATCTTGGTGGACAATAAACAGCAGAAACACAAAAATTATATAAATTTGTTTCAACAGAAATTTGAGTTGCTTGTAGAAAATCATCAGAAATATTTGGTAGAACAAAATGCTTTATATTATTTTTGATTAATATAGCCAAACCGCCGCGAGCCCTGCCACTTGGGTGATTTAAATTATAAGTAGTGTAGTTATAAATTTTGAAGTAGTTTTTTTCAGTGAAGTGAGTTTCTGAGATTAATAAGATATCTATTAAGTTTAACTTTAAAAAACATTCTACTTCATTTTTGTGAGGTATTAAACCGTTGGCATTCCATTCAGCAATTTTAATTATTTTTGCCATTGCTTTTGTTGTTGACTAACGTGGATAACATATTTATTATTATAGTGTTCTGTTGCAAAAGCTGATTGAAGATATTTTTAAATTCTAAAATAAGTGTTGCTAGAGAATCAGAATCGGGATTTGATGGTGAATGATTAGAAGCAGAGTAATTGTTTTTTGCAATGTCTGCATAAGATGAATTTTGAATTGTTGGATTTAAGGCCGGAGAAATGTTGTTTATTTTATTATTAGAATTAGAATTATTAGAATTTTTAAAATTTTGGTTATTTGGATTTGGATTTATGACTGATTGATTTACTGGAGTTTTGTTTCTTTGTTCTTTAATTTTTTGGAAGTATGAGCAACCGCGATAATTAGCTGGATGAGCACCGTCGCAAAAATAACAACATGCCGGAGCATTCGGATCTTTGGTACAAGCTATAGTATTATGATTGTCACCGCATTTTAGGCAAGCAAATGGTCTATTGCAGTATTTTTTGGTGTGATTAAAGAGTTGACAGCGAGTGCATTGTATAATGTTGTTGGATTTTCTCGGTGGTTCGACGCGTATTATGCAGTTGAATAATTTATAAATGTTATAAATATTTTTGTTATTTCTATTTGGTTCCAGATCAACAAAAAACATATTAAGAGGTTCTTTTGTTATTCTATGTCTAATATTTAGGATATTACGTACGACATGACCCTGTTTTAATAGTTCTAATTTAATTGCATCTGTGCTTGTTGAAAAGTGTACATTTCTAAGAACAACCCTATAAGCCTTCTCTTCTTTTAATTGATATGTATGATATACGGCATTAGTTTCTTTTAGATGTCTGGATAAAGTTCGAAAATGGTCGACAGAATTACATAGAATTTTAAATGTATTGTTAGCTAAACTTCTCAGGAAATATTGATCGTGCGGAATTATTTCATTTAATTGATTAGACATATCATTAATATCGTCAACTCCGTAAATAAATATTGGAGGGGGCTTACTGACTGGAGCCGGTTTAACTGAGTTGTCATCATTAGCTGTTTCTATTGTTGAAAGGGCCGAAAATCGGTTTTGAATTTTGACATCTATTCCTAATGGTTCAAATGAAGTTTTTCTTTTTTTGAAATTGACTACTTGCCATGAATTAGGAGGTTTCTTGACATCAGAATGTGGTTGAGTGAGACTTGTAGATGCACTATTACTAGATGATATTACTTCCTGTCTTGAGTCAGAAACTGATGAAGTTGAACGCAGCGAGACCTTTTCCGATGTAAACATATTGGTCCGACCTTCTTCGCGAGGTATCTTGCTGTATTTGCTGGATCCAATAACGGTCTTTCGTAGTTTTGGGATTTCTGATGGTTTACTGTCCGATTCCATATTCGCTTCTATATCTTGATTGAAATGTAAGACATTTTTTTGATTCCACAAACGCACATTAGAGTCTCGATTATGTATGGTTTTTTATAAGCAATTATTTAATTATCTGTACACTTTTGTAAGCTTTTCATGCAATTTTAATAAACCGTAAAATTCAATCTGACATGCACTTCAAAAAAAAAACATTAATAAACATTTTTCTCTTATAATTAGTTCTTTTATCCACATCCAACGTTATTACACCACTGAAGGAGTCTAAATTGTTTTCACTTTTGAACTTGAGAGTAAGATGAGCCTAATTCCAAAATTCCAAACGAATTGGAAAACAGTAAAAAAAGTTCAGACCCAAAGCGCTCCATTGAGTAAATATTCCGTACAAAATGCCAACCATATGAAATTTTGACACAATGAAACTTCTAAATAATTTTTTTTGTATTGTGACTTAGTATAGTAAGGCAAAACGACCGCAAATTGAATATTTTTGAGCGCAATCACTTATGGCTCGTCTCCTTTGCACGAATTCGTACGGCGAATCTGTTCGCAAAGTGCGTTGAGAACACGATTCGCCGCATGTTTACTTATCTATGATTCTCCGTGCGCGTCAGTCGCATGCGCAGACTGTCAGACGTATGTTATATTATTTGCATCTTATATTATTTTAATTATGGCACATCTCAGCTGCTTTTCGACAATAACAATTACATTTTCTTTATTTTTAATCATGATTTTATTATATTTTAATATTGCCTTAGCCTATAAGTGAATAAAAATGTTTGGCAAATGACAGTTGTCATTTATTTTTGATGTCAAATCCTGCCTTAAATATTTCAAAAGTCAAACAATGATAAGCGGTTTTTTGTAATTTTTTCCATTTATTTCTACAATATAACTATATTTCTGTGAATCAAAAGATTCTAGAAAATTCCCCGAACAAACTTGAGGAAGATTCATGAAAATTCGAATTATAGTTTATGAGAATTAACCATTCATACATTGTTACAGAAGAGTTTTATATATAAGATATATATATATATATATATATATATATATATATATATATTTATATATACATGGTCTGTTCAAAAAGTACCCGGAATTTTCGTTTTTCCAAAAAAATATTTATTTATTCGTCTACATTAATGTGGTCCCCTTCAAAGTAGTCCCCCCCAGATATAATACACTTATGCCAGCGTTTTTTCCAATTTTCGAAGCACCCTTGATATTCACTTTTTGATATGTCCTTGAGCACTCTCAGCGATTTTCTTCAATCGAGGAAAACCGCCGTCCTTTCATGGGTCTCTTCAACTTTGGGAATAGGAAAAAGTCACACGGAGCCATATCTGGTGAATTTTTGCACTTTGCAACACTTTATTTCATTTTTTACGCAAAATTTAATACAAATTCTTTGACTTTTCAATTCTTCCATTGTAAAAATCGCCGAGCTCAGAAAAACACGTCGAACCTTAGCGACTACCACAGACAAAGTAAACAGTGAATATAGCTGAAAATTTCATCATACTTTAGGGGCATGTATACCAACACAATAAAAAAAAATTTTGACAATCAGACACTCCAGACCCGCGAAATTTAATTATTAGTAATTCCGGGTACTTTTTGAACAGACCTCGTATATATAATTATATGTAAGTATATTTACTTCATCATAATTACAACTACCTGTGGGTATCATAGTGTGTAAGAAACAAATATAATTAGGCCAAATATGTAATTCTGTAAATTTTTTTTTGCAGATAATTCAAAGAAGACTAATGATGCAAAAGATACGAATAGTCTGAGTAATTCACTGAATCATTATGCAAGTACAAGCCGACAAGATATAAGTAGTTTGATGCATATTGCACTGAGTCATGGTGCTGATACAAGCGAGAAACATCCGATACACACTTTATCGAGAATGAAAATTAATCAAACTAATTTATTAACTTCTCAAATATTTGAAAATATAAACAATACAACTTCTATGCAAGGATTGATCAATAGCAAAGAAAACAGTTCGTTGAATGAAAATAATTTATCAGAAATAACTCCTTCATCTAGTACAAGAATTATAGTTAGTCAATCTGATAGTTCTACAAATGAATGCTTGAAGCAACTAACAAGAGAGTACCAGAACACTGACAATACCTTGAAAGAATTGAAAAGACAAAGGGAACATAAAGATCTGCCGAATCGTTCATTGTTTCTCTCAAAAAATTCTGTGTTATTTACAGCTGAAAATGTTAGAGATTGGCATCCGGCTAATCGTCTGAGCTATGTTAGGGCTTCCAGTTATGCTCTAAACATACGCACTTCATCAGAAAATAAACATAGTTTTGACATGAATCAGAAACGAAACTATAAGGTTCCTACATGGAAAGAGTCAGTTGAGGAAATTAGAAAGAACGTTGTAAATAAAATCAATAATGTCGTGACAATGGAAAGTATGATTTATCATAATTTAGAGCAACCAGAGAATGACATGGAGAGTTCAATAAATACTTTGAATAGTAGAACGGATGCAATTATCAAAACAAAGCCGGTAGATCAAATTGCAATTGCAAAGTCTGTATCTGAACAAGCTTTGTCTGCACCATGTGTACGCCAGAATAATTGTTTATCTGAAACCACCAAGTCATCTTTTGACCAACTAATAGAAGTAGAAAAAATATGCGATTATCGTTCGTCTGATAATATTTATGATTATTCATCACAAAGACAGCAAATTAATAATATATTTGATTCAGAAAAAGAAGCTAAATTGCGACAACTTGATGCTCATCTTGTACAGCCACCAGCAAATAAAAAACGTAAGATTTTAAACAAATTAATAACCAATACCGGTGAGGTTGTCAGTTTCGAAGATGCTCCAACCCAAATAATTCATCGGAAAATTGAACCAATCGAAATTTTGGATGTCAAATTAATTGAGAGTTGCGCACCGTCTAATTTAAAATTAGAGAATTGCATGGAGAAAGTTGGGTATAAACGTACGAGTTTTAATAAAAATGATACTAAAACTAATACACCAGGAATTGTTAGTTGTGTTTCACATCAGGAAGTGTTTCTAAATTATAGCCCGGAAATATCCCCTAAACCTATTTTGCTTTATGATTTGATACCTGGTGAGCTCGCTAATCCAATACAGTTTGATCAAAGACACGAGTCAAAAGAAACCATTGCAAATGAAAAATCTGCAAAACGTCAAAGTTCAGGTAAACTCGAAAGTCTAAGAAAGAATGTACAAAAAGAACCAAAACTCTCTGCATCTGTTTTGACAAATAACAAAATACAATCATCTACACTTACTCAACGAATAAAAACTTCTATACCATTGCCTGGTAGACACACTTCCCAACATGGCGAACAAATTGTTGAGAATGCACTACTAGATGTAACTCCTCAACCGAATCAAAATGTAGCAGTTCCCATAAATTGTGATGATTCTCATACATCTACTCAACAAATAAACTCTTATGCAAGATTAAAACACAAACACACTTCACAAAGCGATGAACAAATTGTTGAAAAATATTCTCAGTTGAATAAAATAGTAATGATTCCCGTAAATCGTGATGCGGTGTATGATGAGCATTTTTCTCAAGAGGCTGGACCTTCAAAAGCCAAAGCAATTTATACAAGTTCTAGCATCTCTCCTGACTTATTCAAAAATGAAATAAAAGTTCCCGCGTATAAGAAAATATTTAAAGACAGACCCAAAAATAAAAGTGATTCAAATGATATTTTTAAACAAGGCAACAAGATTTTCCGCAAGAAAGATAAGACCAATGTGTCAATCATAACACACATTATCGAACCAGAACAAAAGAATAGGAACGAAATATCTAATGAACTTGTAACAGAGAGTTCAAGAATTATTTCACCAACAACAATATCTTCCAATAAGTGTATCAATAAGGACTTTGTCAATTGTATATTCTTGCCACATGAACTCTTAAGACAAAGCAATCATGATCCATTGTTAGAAAAATTGCGAGAAGCGAAGAAGATTTATTTTGAATTGAAAGAGAGATATAAAAAAGGCAAAGTAGCGAAACAAGAGTTGTCAAAATGTCGGTCCAATGTGCTTCAGCTACAAACAGATTTTAAAAAGGAAGTGCTGAGGTTAAAACAAATTGTTATTGAAGAAAAAAATGCAGTGACGAGATAATTGTGCAAATATATAAATGAATGCGTGTTGTTAAAAATCAGATTTATTAGTTGTACTTCTAGAATAAACAGATTTGTGTATATGTGTACATCATTTAAAAATATAGTTACAATGTTATATTTGTATATATCAATTCTTTTACACATTTAATATTTTTAAGATTCGATTAATAAATTTAATAATTTGTCTCATGAATAATTTTTTAGAAGTTTTAAATTTGGGTTTAAAGATCGTTTGCTCATTTCATATGAACCTGATTGTCATTAACAATGATATATTGGTTGTGTAAGATTATAGATTTTGTTCAATTCACTATATGTAGTTTCTTGTGATTAATTAGCTAGTTTAAATAAAAGAAATATTAGTAATTATTCAAGATAAATGTACCATATTACGCGATGTTAAGGAACGTTTGACGTTAAAGATGATGAGCTAAAACTGTACTATTCTATAAATTAGACTTATAAGATTATTATAGAACAAAATTTTTCGTTGTAGGATTTTTTAACTTCCCGTAGGGTAGTTAAAGTAATGGGCCAAAAATCGAAATTGGAATTTTTTGCATTTCTCACGTTTTCAAGGTATCCACATTTTGGCATACCTCAAAAAAAAATGGATGTGTGGGTGTGTGTGTTTTGTGTGTCCGCATTTTTTCGTTCACGTATTCGGGCGCACGTTTCAACCGATTCGAGTGGTTAAAAAAATATTCAATTCTTATTGATAGGGAGATGTGCTGATTAGTTTTTGGTAGAAGCAGGTCCAGCCGTTACGAGATAAAGAGCAAAGAGTGCAGAAAATTGAAATCGAGTTTTTGAGGGAACGGAGCATCCGATTTGAATGATCTAACTAGTGGGGCGCATGGCATCGTGCCTTAAGGCAAATTACTGGAACTTCTCGTACCAATTTTCTTTTTTTTTAAAGAATAACATTTTTGAAAAAAAATTACTCTGAGAAAATTTGGTTTTTGAGAAACTATAAATTTTTGACAAAAATTTACTTTTTTTTGAAAAAAAAAGAATTTTTGAAGAAAAATTTATTTTGAAATATTTTGGAAATTCAGAACATTTCTTCAAAGGAATCGTACTGCTTTAACTAAATAGAGATGAGATATCGAAGCGCGTAGGTGCCGCGTCGCCGTCTAACGGATAAACATTGGTACGGAACCCATAGGAATGTAAACAAAATTTATACTTATTGTTAAAATCTGTGTAAAATATCTGATAATTTTATGTTCATATGTCTAATGATCATTTTTGACCATCATATGGTATTTTTTTTACTTTTTTTACTAAATCTCCGAAACCACTAGACCTGCCTTCTAGAGTACCTATTCGTAATCGAATTAATGAAAATTGAACTGACTAAAATGCTTTTAACTAGTATCATATTGCCAGACATTATTGATTGCCAGACATGCTTAACAACCGCAGAAACGTCTGGCAAATTTACTTTATGTGTTTTTACCCTTAACGAACATAATATTAAAATTTCAGACAGACTAAAATGATTTGAAATTTAAAAAAACTACTCAGCTATAACGACATGCTCACGCGTATAACTATTAGCGGGTGTCTATCGGATCTAATCGGAACTTCTGCACTGTTTTTTAAATTATTCAAATCGGTTGATTCGTGTTTCCGAAATTGTCGACGAAAATTTGTATCCGCACACACACACATACACACGCATACATACGTCCATTTTTTTCTAAGGTATGCCAATATGTTTAGAAACCTTTGAAACGTAAAGATATATAAAAATTTCGATTTCGATTTTTAGCGATTACTATAACTTACCCCACGGGAAGTTAATAATCTTTAAAGTCTTTCAAATTAACAATGCCAACTAGCTTAAATCAAGTTTGATTGGGAATTTTGTATGTTTTAGAAGCTTTAAAAAACAGTTAGTACACTATTGCAAATTTCTTTTGAACCCTTTTTCGGGGTTTCGGGTGAATATTTAATTGGAGCCATCGTTCTTTGGAAAACTGAAAGAACGATTTAAAATAATACGCAAATATTTTCACTGATATTGAATATAGTTTTAATAGTTTTCAATAAACTGTGTATCATACTATTAGAGAGCTACTTTCAGGTTTTTGGGTGAATATTTAATTGGAGCCATCGTTCTTAGGAAAACTGAAAGAACGATTTAAAATATTACGCAAATATTTTTACTGATATTGAATATAGTTTTAATAGTTTTTAATAAACTGTGTATTATACTATTAGAAAGCTACTGCATTCAAGAGTAGCTTCGGCAACGTATTTTCGAGTAATTGCAATTCATATTGATTTAATATTATGATGTATGTTCGTTTTACTAATATGCATGTTATATAATGGTTATCTGCCAAAAGATCACTACCTTAATCCGGTCAAAATTACTGTGTTTACAGGAATGTCCCTAGATCTGTGCATACATACATCTATACCAGCGCCCTAGTGAATCCGTGCCCTATAAGTACCATGAGCTATACGGGGTTTACCTGTATTTTTATTCAATTTATATAAAATAATTGATCATAGATGAAAAGGTAGAAACAAATTATTCTCGCATTTCTACAATATTTTAAGTATAATTGAATACTGCAAATAAGTGAAAAAATCGTGTACTTTCTTACGAAAGAGTAGTCATTACAAACCCAATTATTAAGGTTAAATATTAAAAAAACATATACCGTAATTAGGTAACAGTATTCTGTAGTCATTACCAAACTTATTAACACCAGAAACATCGCCGAATTTAAGCACAGGTAAAAATAAAAGACAAAAATATTTCAGGTCAAATTTTCGTAATTGCGGGATACTCACAGATGTGTGAACCTAATTACGGGAGTCATGGAATTGACAATTTCTTGACAAATATAGGCTCGATTTAACTATAAAACTAATCACTTATTATTACTGATGATATTAATCTCTTATTAATAATTTCACAAATTTGAATCGATTAAGCTTACCGACATCGTATAAAAACCTTGAGCAATGGAACCGTCACATTAACCTAACTATCTTACAAGCCAGTACGAAATGGCGAGCGGGTCACGAGCGATGCGCTCAAAAGCTTTTTTAAAACCTAATATTTAAATTTAAAGATCGTGCTATTTTGTTAGGATTTAAATTATAATGGATGCGCTATTGCATGATATTATTATTTACCGACCGTTTTATTATTTTGCGATCAAAATGAAAAACTCCCATAATAATGTACTATCCCGGAATAGTGTACGATACATTTACCTTAGGTGTTAATATCAATTTACTGTTAATCTTAAATATCACTTCTAATCTTTTTATTTTAACTTCCCGTAGCGTAAGTTACAGTAATCGCAAAATAATTGAAAATGGAAATTTTTAGATACCTTTACGTTTTAGAGGCTTCTGAACATTTTGGCATACTTTAGAAAAAAGGGATGTGTATGTGGGCGTGCCATTTGGCGGTCAAAATTGAACGGTATTATCACATATTTTATAAAGATTATAATAATACGCGGCGCTTTGATATTTCGACTCCAAATCAGCTATGGCGTGCGATTGCTTAAAAAAGTCCAATATTTTCAAAAAAAATCAAAATACATAAAAATATCAAAATATAAAAAAAACAAATTTTTCAAAAATGTACCGACAATTTTTGGCATACTTTATAAAAAATAGATGAGTGTGCGTGTATGTGTATATGTGTTTTTTTTATAGAGGCGCGAAAAGAAATTTTTTTAAGACACTGCCACCGTTGATACTCCGCTGTTCATCCTACAGCAAATAACGATTTATTAATTAACGAGATTTATTTTTAACCACTAAAAAATATTCCTCTGCCCTCTTCCCGCAGATGGTACGGAGAGGACTGGATTCGAAACGCCTTATCATTACATCAATCCAGTCCGTGCTGCGTCTTGCAACGTCTGTTTCCGACTACTGACTCCTTTCTCCTTCTCCGGGATCAGGCGCGCCGTCTATCTGCCCGTCTCTCCTGACGTCTACCGATTTTGCCACTCTTGTAACGTAATTTTTGAAGTAAAACTTCTTTAGGCACGACTAGGGTGTAAATCCATACAAATGCAACGGAAGTGCGTTACGGCAAATAAGATAAGATAAGAGTCGCGTGCCAAAGATCTGTCATTGGCTCTCGATGATATCATTTCTATACGGGTCGATTGTGATTAGTCGTCGTGTATGTGAATGTAGATCTGTCATTACATGCGTACCGGCATCAACGTTGTAGGCGTACCGGCATCAACTTTGTATGCGTACCGATATCAACAAGGAATTCGGCATTGATAGGAGGAAGTCCCGCAATGCCGGGCGGCACCTAAATCCGGACACATTATTTAACATGTATTATTTAAGCGAGATAATTCTTTATATCACAAACAGACGAAACCTTCTCCGCTTCCGTTGTCGTTGACGGTAGTTTCCTTCGAGTTTATGATACAGATTGCTACTGTGCCAGATCGATCGGCAAACCATGATTTATCTTGAATATTTAAATATTGCTTGCAGATAAGGCAGATGACTCTCCTGGCTTCAGCAAGCGCCACACGGAATGCTTTATAGATCGCGGATTCAGCGACATGGCTCACGCAGTTCCGGTCTCTTTTGTCTACTGTACATAGGAAGCATTTTGGCTTTTTCGTGTAGTCTACAGACTTATGATTTCTCCCGCCGCATTTTTGCTTCTGCCTGGTTCCCCGCATTTATTCGTTTGCTTTTCTAAACAAATTTTTTTATTCGCCCACTTTAACAACTGGGCGAATGCGACAGTTAACCCACCCAATTTTTATGCGAGCCTTATTTAGGGTTTTGATTGCATTGGCCTCATCTACCTCATAAAAGGCCGCTCGTTGTTCTCTTGGTGTAACTTTAGTCAAGTTTACTCGTCGAATTTCCAGTTTTGTCGTGAAGTTCTGATTGAGTGCTTTGCGAACATAATTTTCGGTAGAGATTCCATCAAGGACAAGATATTCTAGGCGGGACTAAGTGCGGATAACAGCCTTTTGTTTTTGTTTTGCTCTTAAGTCT